TTTTATGAGTGACCTTGGTTTACCGATCTATTTTAATAAGCCTCCTACAGGCAGGCCAGCTCCCCTGCTCACAATCTTTCAATGGCATCTGGTTCATTCTGAGTAAAATCTAAAGTCTTGCCAATGGCCAGAAGGACCTAGGCGACCAATCTGCAGTCCCCTATCCATCTTTCTCTCACCTGTCTCCCGTCGAAGTGCCATACCAGTCACTGTACCACATGAGGAGTGGCTTCTTTCGAATCCTGTAGCCTGGAATGCTCTCTTCCCGGGACTCTGTGGCTCCCATTGGCACCTCTTTAATATCACTGGCACCCACTCCTCTGCGTTCCTTGTCTTTAAGAGTTTATAGGTAAATCAGAATAGATGCAAGGTGTGCTCAGTTACCCTTAGGAGCCACGGTGGGGTGGTGTCGTGGATTGAGAGTTAGGTTGCAAACCTCAGTGTCAGCAGTTTGAATACACCAACTACTTTGAGCGAGAGAAAGGAGGCCGTCTGCTTCCGCCTGGGAAACCTAGGGAGCAGTTGGACTCCGAAGGGTTGTTACGTGCTGAATCAGCTCGAGGGCAATGGGCTCTTTAAGAAAAGGCCTTATCACAATTTCAAAGCTACACAGGCAGCAAGTAAAGGTGATTGTGATGAAGCATTTGTTATGAATCCGGCTTGGTGCAGCAATTTCAAAGTGAGGGCAAATTTATATAACATTAAAGGTTCGCGTAGAGTAGTTTGTATACCACCACCCAGGGCTGCCTATATATTTTTATATTTGTTTATTACATGAATGTTATGAAACTAAAACCAAACTTTTCCATCGAGTCAGGACTGACTCATAGTGACCCTACAGGGCAGGGTAAAATTGCTCCTGTGAGTTTCTGAGACTATTTACTGGAGTAGAAAGCCCCGTCTTTCTCCCGGGGAGTGGTTGGTGGTTTTGAACTGCTGACTTTGAGGATTTCAGCTGAACACATAACCACTGTGCCATATAGAGCCAAAAAGCCCACTGCCATCAAAGGCTCAAGTAGAAAGAAAATGCTTTGAAAATGATGATGGCAACATTTGTGCAAATGTGCTTGACACAATGGATGGATGTATGGATTGTGATAAGTGATGTAAGAGCCCCCAATAAAAGTATTTAGTGAAAACAAACAAAACCCCCCACTGCCATCCGGTCAACTCTGACCTAGTGCACTGTTGATTAGGCATTGGACTGTGGACGGCTAACTGCAATGTTGGTGGTTCGAATCCACCAGTTTCTCCTTGAGAGAACAATGAGGCTGTCTGTCCAGTTAGCATTTGCAGTCTCAGAAGCCCTGTGTAGGGTCGCCAGGAGTCAGAATCCACTCCATGGCAGTGGGCTGGGTATGGGTTTGGCTGTAGGACAGAGAAGAACTACTCCATGGGATTTCCAAACATATTCATTTTCATAGACACAGACTGTCACATCTAATGCTGATGACAGGTTGCTGGTGGGTTCAAACAGCCAGCTTTCTGCTTAGCAAGAGAGTGCTTCAGCGACTGTGCCATCACAGCTTCTCGCGGTTATCCATAATGACACATAAAGGTGTTATATAGACACACAATTAGGTATATAGTTGAGCTATCTGGAGGTCTTGGGAGGTGGAAGTGGGTTAAGTGCTTGACTACCAGTCAGAAGGTGGGTGATTCAAACTCTCTGCAGGTGCCTCGGAAGAGAGGCCAGGCAACCTGCTCCGGCGAGGTCACAGTCCTCAGACCCCATGGAACAGGTCCACTCTGTAGACATGAGGATAATCAGCTCCATGGTATTGATTCCCTGGCATCACCAGCAGCATCGTTACAGTGGCAGAAATGTCTGTGCACAAGAGGGCTTCAAAAGTCCATGGGACAATGGAATGAGAAGGAAAGGCTCCACTGTCTTTTCATTTTTTTGGTTTTTCCAGGAACACTTTGTAGTTCCCTC